CCCAGTTCCCTGCGGTTTTCAGTTTTATAAGTTTTATTTATGTTGATTAGCATCCCTTCTAATCCCAAAAATAAAACGATCCCTACTTACTTGTACTATGATTGTATAATTTACAGGGTTTAATTTGTGTGTTAGTTTTTACCACATCAAACACAACATCACATCCTTGTGCAACTTAGACTTGACATCATCATCCACTACCGTATCTTCAGCAAAGATCAAACACTCATCGCCATGCACCATGTCTATCATGAAACAACCATTATCAGCTTCCACATCTAGGTATACATGTCCATTAAGTCTTCTCCTACCACAATAGAAGAAAACTTTGAACAACTTTTCGTAGCTCAATAAAATATGGTTATCCTCATCATGGTCCATAATCAACACTCTCTTCAAAGGAAACCTAAGGTTCACTTCTAACAGCACCTTTACAAACAAACCATTAAGTCCCAGGGTAACTTCATCAACCATAATCACATGACGAATTGGTTGCGTGATATCTTTATTAATGTATCTTCCTTGTATTGCACCACACTCTAGGCAGCCTGGCCAAAACCACCAACTTAGTTATCACATTAACGTCCTTGAAATGGGTAGTCCATCTTTCTAGATGGAATATCTACCCACAAACATACTAAGGCCTATTTTTCAGAACGAACTTCAGGTTAACCTCATCAGTGAACTCTAAGGCAAACCACTTTCTTCCAAAGTGATCTAGATAGAACGTGTTCTTCACTTCGTTTTTTCCAAACTAAGCCAAACTTCCACTTAATTAATCTAGCTTCGAGAGGTTATGCAAACATCTTCCCCATCAGAACATGATTGCATATGCTTCGTATTAATTGAATAACACAACTGGCTCTGGTGACATCTCTATTCATTATGAAGGTGCCCCTAGCCTTTTCAACTACAACAGGCTCCTGACCAGGCTATAGGAAAGTGAAATGGTTCTCCTCGCTAAGAACATATTGATCAGTGCAAATTTTGGGTCTGGTGACATCTCTTTTCATTATGAAGGTGCCTTTAGCCTTTTCAACTGCAACAGGCTCCTAACCAGGTTAAGGGAAAGTGAGATGGTTATCCTTGCTAAGAACATATTGATTAGTGCAAATTCTAGGTCTACGAGTTGAGGGGGAGAAGAAGGCAGTGATCTGGAGATTACCCATAAGAGATGAAAGATAAAGCAAAGTAACAGAAAACAGGGTGTTTGGTGAAATGAATAGCCATAAATAACTACTCAATAAATAGGGGGAACCAACCATCAAAACCAATGAAACAAACAAAAATCGTCATTAACTCAACACCTTACAAGCTATTACACAATTAATGATTAGCAAATGCAACCAATAAGTAGAACTAGAGGAAGCCAAAATAGCCTTAATATTGGACCAGCCCCCATGCCAAAGCAAAAAGAAGCATGGTCCAGCTCCCAAAGTAACTTGGAAACCCAAAGGGTTTCTAACATAAGTAAACTAAATCTCAATTAATCCAAAAAGTAAAATATACACTAAAGCCATTTGACGCAATCAAGAAAGCACATAACCGAAAAGCCAACATCCAAATCTAAACATGTCGAAGAAGCAAATCATCACAATCATAACACACATAATGACTATAAATCTTAGTAAACCAAACCAGAAAGAACCAAACAACTTTAAAACTAGCATACTTACTAGCCCTGATAGGCACTGACACACAAAAACTAGAACCATATGCCAAAACAAACTATTATGATTCACTTGAGGAGAATACTGCAACCTAATAAGCTTTCTTAGACTCCAGTCTCAATTAGTAACCCTAACCTAATTATCAACCCCAATTTTTCCATCCACGAATTCAATTATCTTAACCCTAGATAATCGAAACCCTAAATAAATAAAACCTCAAATTAACAGCACTCACATTAGCCCAAGCACCGAAATGAGAGCCGCACAACCAGCAGCTCTAAAAATCAGTCAAGTTGCATGTGAAGGCACCAACGGCGCTTCACATGCGAAAATCCTAGCTCCGATCTTATTAGTGGTCTAACCCATATTATCTAGAGATTTATATGACACTGTGAAGTCTTGAATTAAGTGTTTTGGCTTTCCTTGTCAATATTGTAAATTGTACCATATGCTCGAATTAATTTTAGGACATACTCTGATTATGGGTTGTTGTTGTTGAAATTAAATGCTCAAAGGTGTGACTCATCACTTCAAAGGTTTGTTCATGCATATACATTTCATGTCTAAATTCTTGTTACATTCTGACTAGATTAGTTATCTCGTCATTTTTGCTCGCTGCTTTCACGCAGCTGGGCACGCAACTTAAGACTGCCCATATGGTTTTCTACGCTGAAAAATGTTCCATGTCATTGTTAACTGAAAACATACAGGTTCTCATTAAGGGTTCTTTTGTGAGGTGGCTGTTTAGATTTAATTTGAGAGTGTGAGAGTACATTAAAGCTTTGAAGTTTCCCTTCTTCCTCATTTATGAAACCCTACCTGCCAAACATTTCTTTATGAATTAAACACATAATCATTGAGAAACAGGGTTGCATTGTCTTTGTGGTTTGCATTATTCTTACAGTCTAAGTCCCAAGTTTAAAATCATTAATTAGACCTAGTTTTCTTGTTGGATTCACGTTAGTTTCTTACTTTAACTATTTGACTGGAGAAACTGACTTGTCATTTGAATCCACATTATATCATCTACATCATTACATCACTCACTTGAAAAATGCATTGGTCTCGGTGCTACAAGGTGAAGAGCTCAAGGTTAGAGCTACTTCCTAGTGAAGACCGAAGATGTCTCCATCTCGTGCAAAGTAAGGTTGCATAAAGGTAAAGTTGCTTTGTAGATTATGTTGAATCCCACATCGACCATAGAAAAAGAAAAGTAATAGTTTAAATATCTTAACCCTACTTCCAACAACATCGATACTCTCCCTAACTTGGTAATTACCACCTGCACAATCTGTTAGGTGTGGGGTTTTATCACAAAAGGCGTCGGTGTTAGTTAGAGTGGTGTTATGATATTTAAACCATTACTTTTCTTTTTCTATGGTCGATGTAGGATTCAACACGCCCCTCACATGGGATCTAATTATTGGGTCACACGTGGGAGATCCACACATCGGCAACCACGTGGAGCCAAGAGTTCAATTCTCGGTTGAACTTTGCTATGAGCGCTCCCTATGGGTGCACGAAGAAAATTTTCTTCATGCACCCACAAGCTATGAGCCTGAGGGTGAAGATTGTCTACTATTGTTAAATGAAGAAGAAGAATGGTTTCTATTGCCATGAAGGAAAAAAGACGAAAGAAAAAAGTTGTGGTTCCGCTGCCTTGGATAAGAGAAGAAGAAATTTTTTTTTTTGTCAAGGTAGGATACATTTCCTATCATGAAGGTTCTTGAGTTTTGTTTTATTTTTATTTATTTTTAATTTAGTTTGATTATGAGTTTGAGGAAGAAAAAAGAAGGATGAAACAAAAGATTGAAGAAAAAGATTTGGTGATTGGGGCTTTTGAAAAAGAGGCGTTAGTTTCAGATGGACATTCGAAAAGATTAGCGTTTGTTCCAACTAGACTTTCGGAAAGAGGCATTAGTTCTATCATATCAAGAGAATTATTTATCGGGCATTCGAAAAAAGATGTTAGTTCCAATTGGGCTTTCAAAAAGATTAGCGTTAGTTCCAGTTGGGCTTTCGAAAAGAGACGGTAGTCTCGAAGATTATGATTTGTTCGTCAGGCTTTCAAAAAAAAGACGTTTGTTCTAGTTAGGCTTTCGAAAAATTAGCACTAGTTCCAAGTTGGCATTCAAAAATAGGCGTTAGTTCTGACGGACCGTGATTTGCTGATCTTTAAAAAAGATTGACGTTAGTTTCAGCGTATTAGTGAAGATTGCCTTCTTGACAAAGCCAAAGGGCCATACGTGCTCGCATGTCACCCGCTTGTTCTCCACGTGTATGCTTGAAAATCGACCACATTTGTGGGGTCGTGTTGAGAGTTGAAATGTGAGGAAGAGTTTATCCTACATCGGTGAGGGACAAGCCTTGTTATGGGCTTACATGGTCTTAGGCTGCTCCCCATATTGCCAATTGGTTGTATGGTGGAATCCCAACTTTCTTATGGTATCAGAGCCAGGGAGCAGGCCATATGTATTACCACGTGATTGGAAGGGGGGTCCCCTTGGCCCCACGCGATGATGGTGGGTGTCCAGTGGGTCTGCATGTAGGGTGAGTCCCCTTGGCTCCACGTGGTTGCCGATGTCTAGATCTCACAATGTGACCCACTAATTGGGTCCCACGTGAGGAGGCGTGTTGAAACCCACATCGGCCATAGAAAAAGAAAAGTAATAGTTTAAATATCCTAACCACACTCTAACTAACACCGAGGCCTTTTGTGATAAAACCCCAACCTGACGGATTGTGCATGTAATAATTACCAAGTTGGGGACAATATCAGTGTTGGAAGTGGGTTGTTGGTCCGTTTCTCTGATAATTCTACATATTATATTAGATCTAGGAAAAGAGCTTGATGTGCTACCTTGTATGAATCTCATTTGCACTAGTGGATTGAACTTACTGGAGTCCCTAGTTTTTTAACCCATAGGTGGGCTTTTCCTGTCAAAACTTCTTGGTTTTAGTGTTACTAAAGGCTTGCCACATATCTCACTTACTAGCACATGATACATGCATCCTTTGACTTGCTAATTGATATGTGCCTACAACCATGCTCACACAACGTAATAATAAGTAATGAACATGACTACTATTGACTAGAAGAACTCTTAGTAACCTAGGTTGAATCGATAAAATTGTGTTTGGTTGACTAACGAATCTGTACTTAGCCGACTGGTGAATTTGACTAGCCAGTCTAGCAGACTTTGTTTTTATATACAAGATATTTCGCTTAGTACCAATCTCCAACACCATAAAGTAAAATTGTTTGTTTTTTATTCAATATATTCTGCTTTAAATTAATAGAAATTGTAGGAGGAACTTTGAACTCGAGTCTATAGAACGAGCTCATCCGTTATAGCAGATATACCTATATTTACATCTGCATGTAAATTTTTTTGTTAAATTATTCCTACTAATGTATGCCAAAATTTGGAGGGGCCATGAAAAATTGAGAATCAAAGCAGAACGTGAAATTGATTCAACTCGATGGTGAAGCCCATTCTCATTCGTAATAAACCCATTTCCTGATAATTAATTTTGTTTTCTTATTTTATCTTCATTGACAAAAAGCGAAAGGTTTTAATTTCTGTTTTTACTAACTTAAAATTAATTACACTTTTTATTTTATTTTTATTTTTTATTTTATGTTATTTTTACAAATCAATATAATAAATTAATTTAATTTGCGAGAATGAAGATCGAACGAGTGAATAGAATATACACACTGCTATAGTCAAGGTCAACTCATCACCTAGCTTGCTTCTGAGTCAAAATTACACTTGATTGTAAACGTACATAACAACATAGCATTTTTAATTTTCCATTCATTAAAGTACAAACATTGAAAACTCTTTTCTTTTTTTTTTTTTTTTTAATAAGAGACAGTGAAAATATTTTACATGGAAATTGGAATATTATTCCATAAGCAACCATAAGAGACGTTCCATTAATCCAAGCTAGACTCTGGCTGTTGATGAATTTCTTGATTACTTGGGTCGACTTGCTGTCTCGATTGGCCCAGCTTGCCTTGCCATCTGAATTCACCAAAATTTATATAAAAAATGAGATTAATACACTTTTATTTTATGGGATACAACTAATTGAAAACCCTGATATGATATAATATAATAGTCCAAAACTTGAGACCGATCGAGTCACCTGAAAATAAGCCTCAAGCTTCTTTTTCAGTGTTGCATGTTCTTGCTTCAGTCGCTGGAAAGTCCTCATGCATCTGATTAATTGCATTCATTGATCGTGCAAAATTACTTTTTTTAATTGATTTGATTGGTTGGGGAATAAGATTCGCTTTATAATTTGTATTTTTATATATAAAATAATATTGTAATTCGAAAAGATGGATTGATTAATGTACCCTTCTGCGTTTCCTGCATTACAAAATTCCCTAAACTGCTGGCACTCAACTTTCACCTTTTTGGCTCCGATGCTGCACCAGTAAACAAAATCGTTTAATTAATTTGGGATTAAATATTGTCATCTTAAAAGCCAACACAGAACATACTAGCAGATCCCTTTCCTTTCTAATAAATTTTAAAATTAATAAAATCGAAAATTTTATTACCTTGAGCTACTTCCCTTGAACTGCTGCATATAGTTGTCCAACTTATTAAAATCACGAGGGTCCTTCTGTCTGCATGCATATAAGACATCATTATATGTGGATACAGTTTATCTAATTAATTAGTCCTCGCGTGGTATATATGTCCATCAAAAATTTAAAAAGTTGAAAATTATAATTTGACTCACAGTGCCTGCTCTAGGGTTTGGAGTGATCTAGATGAATCGCGGTAGTACAATGTAGCTACTTCCTCCACAAAATTAGGGTTAGCATCATCTTGCAGCTCCTCCAGCTGAACAAATTGTTCGTCCAGAAATCCCTATAACGTTACACCGCGAAGACTAAATTAATTAGCCACCAGAAATTCTCAAAGATTTAGAAAATTTAATTTTACATAAATGTAAACTTGCATGCATGAGCAGGGGTTGATCGGGAAACATAATGGTGTTGCATGGACGGCGAACAATGCCTCCCACTCCTTCACATATATTTCAATGACTATTTGGTATCCAGTTTTATTTTGTTTGACGAGTTTCTACACATCATGCCATTGATCTACAATACTTACATGTATTCAATACAATTATCATTTGACTGGTCAGATATAGTTCATGTGAATATATGTATTTATTACAATCATCATCTAATTGTCGAGCTGATGATTGTATTAAATACATGTAAGTATTGTAACCAAAATTCAAATGATAAAACGTTTGTAAATAAAAATATAGATAAAAATGATGGCTTGGACTTGTAAATGCAAACTACAAGTTTGAGAAAATTTTAGCTACGGAATTTAGGGAAACATGAAATAAAAGGAAAAGGGTACGTAAGTAAAGAGAAGAAATGAAAAAAGAAAAAACCTGATCAAAGAGGGACTGCCTCATGAGACGAACCGGCCTACGCAATTGGTTTCTTTCCATTTCAGAAGAAATGTGGATATCAAAGGATAGCAGAGAGAGAGATAGAGAGAGAGAGAGAGAGAGAGAGAGAGAGGTAATAAAAGTACACACTTGGAAGCTGGAACAATGTGTGTGTGATGGTACAAATTGTTATGGGCAAGGAGGGGTTTATATATTCTATGGAAGAGGGATACACACACACAAACGTGTATATATAAACGGTATTAGTATGAGGGTATGCCAGTGAACAAGTTTCCATGAAAAGGAGGAATGAAGTGATTGGAGAGTTAGTGGGGTCTAGAGGAGTAGTTATTGGCAAAGCTGATTCTGTAATATAATTAACTAAATAGGATGACATTGTTTATGAGTTATGTTAAATCTGGAATATGGAATGACTGCTGCTGTTTATGTATGGATTCTAATTCTAGATAAGCGTCCTTGTTTAATATATATATTCAATTTTATTGAAATTAATATTGAGTTTAGTAAATTAATTAGTAATAGAGCTAAATGCACTCAAATCTCTAATATTCTCCCACCGATACACCCACCGCTAAAGACCCATTATCATGTTTTTTATTTTCAACCATATTTACATGTAAAGGGGTTTGGAGCTCATCTTTATTACAATATTTTTGTGTTTGCTTCTTCTTCACTTTTCAATTTTATTTTTTGGTGTAATTATTGCAACGTTATAACATATGTAGAGGTAAAACTTACCTACTTTACAAAATCATATATTTTAAGTACCCATATGGATTAAATTTTTCAACTAATTTCGAATGAAAAAGATGTACGATAATATATATATTCTTTTCCCTTTTCTCCATTTTCTAATAATCAAGTTTTGCTGCTTTCATCAACGTGGTAAGAGTGTTGATTAACCTTAAAGTTAGGTTAAGAAAAGCAAATCTACCATTTGATGGGCATATGCTCCCTTTCACATACTTTATTGGGAACCTCTCCTGCATGCATGAGACAACTAAGGAATTTATCCAGGAGGATCCCAAAAGCAAACAATAAATTTTCACTAAGCCAAAAGATACAAGCATATTATGACGCAAGCAATATAAATGGTTTGGCAAGTTCATAACGCGCGTGGTGTTATCATATAACTTATTTGATCTTCGGAAAAAAATGTGTTGTGATGATATCTTAAATCAATAACATAATATTCTGTAGAAAGAATATGTATGTTAATCATTATATATATTATTGATCCATAACACAATAGCGTCATGAGGTTATATTACATAAGTCCTTTGTATCTCGCATTTTGCTTAAATTTCTTAATTAGTTGCACAAAGAATAGTATCACATTTTATACGTAGGTCCATTTTGATGACCTAGGCTAACTAGTTAAGTTATATGCCCTTCAATTGCCATGAGGGAGTAGCTAGGAAGGAGGTCACCGCAGATTGTGATGGGCTCAAATGACTTTTTAAATTAATCAGTTGCACTTGCTATACAATATTCTTCATTATTCAGGGCTTAGAAGGCAAAGATCTTGTCTATATGTTTCATCTCCATTGTAAATATATAGGCTAAAAAACATGCTAACATCATAATGGAGGCACTGGCTTGGTAGCTAACAACTTAGCATATTAATGCGAGCTCAATTGGCTAAAAGTTTGTTCTCTAACGTACTGGTCACCAGCCTTAACTATTATTTGATGAAAATGTACGGGTGTAACACGATAACTTCTCACCCAAGTACATTGAAATCAAGAGTTTAGTTAGAAATGGTGCATTAGTCAATCCTAGTTTGTTGATAAGTTAATTAATTAGTCTTTGGATTTCTTATTATTTAAAAGTTATTTTTGGTATTTTGTGTCTTAGGTTTTTTTTTTAAGGTTAAGATTTTAGGTTTCTTTGCCTATTAAGTTAGAGTTTTCTTTAGACATGTAAAGAGGTTTGGAGCTCAAATACTTAGAAGCATTATCTTTAATATAATGTTCTGTGTTTGATTCTCCTTCACTTTTAATTTTAATTTTTAATGTAACTATTACAACGCTATAATGTATATAGAGATAAAACTCACCTACTTAACAAAATTTTATATTTTAAGCACCCATATTGATTAACTTCTTCAACTAATTTCGAATGAAAAAGAAGTACGATAGTGTGTGTACTCACACATACACACACACACACATATATTCCCCTCTTTTTCTCCATTTTCTAATAATCAAGTTTTGCGGCTTTCTTCAACGTGGTAAGTGTGTTGATTAACCTAGGTTAGGTTAAAAAAAGAAAATCTACCATTTGATGGGCATAGGCCTCCCTTCACATACTTTATTGGAAACCTCTCCTGCATGCATGAGACACCTAAGGAATTTATCCTGGAGGATCCCAAAAGTTAACAACAAATTTTCACTAGCCAAAGGATACAAGCATATTATGACGCAAGCAATATGAATGGTTTGGCAAGTAAGTTCATAACGCGTGTGCTGTTGTTATATAATTGATTTGGTCTTCGAAACAAGGTGTTGGGATGATATCTTAAACCAGTAACATAATATTATGTAAAAAGATATGTATGTTAATCATTATATATTATTAGTCTAAAACACATTCGTAATATCATGAGGTTATATCATATAAGTTTTTCGTATCTCGCATTTTGGTTGACTTTTTTAATTAGTTGCACAAAGAATAGTATCACATATTATACTTAGGTCGATTTGATGACCTAAGCTAACTAGTTAAGTTATATGCCCTTCAATTACCATGAGGGAGTAGCTAGGAAGGTGGTCACCACAAATTGTGATGGGCTAAAATGACTTTTTCAATTAATTAGTTGCACTTGCTATACAATATTCTTCATTATTCAGGGCTTAGAAGGCAAAGATCTTGTATATATGTTTTAGGGAAGTGTTATTGGCACTCCAAAATTATCATTCTACACTCCTCACATGTGTATTTTTCTTTTTAAATATAGAAAGTTTGGAGTGTAGAATGAGAATTTTGGAGTGCCAATAATAATTCCCATGTTTTATCACCATTGTAAATAGATATTTTGAAGTCTAGACTTAAGTGTTTTGGCTTTCGTTGTAAATATTGTAACTGTACCACACATGTTCAATCCAGTTTCAAGCTATACTCTGATTTTGGGCTTTCGCTGATCGAAATAAGTGTTCAAGGCTATCACACATCACCTCAAAGGTTTGTTCATGCATATGCATTTTGCGTCTAAATTCCTGTTACGTTTTGGCTAGCTTAGTTGTCTCGTCAGTTTTGTGTGATGCTTTTAGGGAAAGAAGGGATGAGAGACGCAAGTTGGGGCTTTGTTCCTCTATACAGGATTCGGTGGGACTCTGTGGGGGTGATCGGGATGTAGTAGATAGTCATGGGTGTTCGGGGAAAGGTATTTCTTCATCTCAAATTTCAGAATCAACGATGGCTGAAGCCTCTCAGCCCCGTTGAAATCAATGGTAGCCCTATTTTGGAACTACTAGGGGCTTGGGAACCTCTGGATAGTTTAGGCATTGAGGATGATTCTTTGTTAGCAAGATCCCCTCATTTTGTTTCTTTGTGAGACAAAATACGATACGGCAAAGTTGAATTTGATAAGAGGAAGTCTGGACTTTGGTAAAATGGCGGAGGTGAATTCATGTGGTCAGTCGAGTGGATTGGTTTGTTCTAGAAGGATGATATCGATTTGCGTATCCTCTCCTCTTCCCCTCACCATATTGATGCTAAAGTGGGAGCTACTGGGGAAGCGTTTCACTGGTGGCTAACTGGTTCCTATGGGCATCTGAATACGAAGGATATATATCTCTCTTGGGGCTCTTTCGTAGTTTCGCTAGGCATAATCAGTTATCGTGGGTTGTGGAAAAGGGATTTTAATGAGCTTTTCTTGGTATCTGAGAAGGAAGGTGGTGGGCTCGGCCGGTGGGTTAGATACTTAACTTTAGGGAAGCGGTGAATGTTTGTGATCTTAAGGATCTAGGGTTCTATGGTGAACCTTTTACTCGGTTTACATCGAGAAATGGGGGCGATTAAGAAGCGGCTTGATCGGGTTTTGGCTAATGTGGCGTGGTGTAATTTATTTCCCAACCATTATGTTACACATCTTAAGCCCTGCAAGTCTAAGCATGTCCTTTTAGCCCTTGTTTTCCTCGGTGGTGGGCATTGTAATTCCCACACTCAAACCTCCTTCCGTTTTGAGGATATATAGATTGGTCATAATGATTGTGCGGACGTTATAAGGCAGGCTAGGAGCACTGAAGTGGCAGGTTACCCTATGTATCAAGTTATGGAGAAAATTAAATTTACTAGGGTGGCTTTGCTAAAATGGCATAAGAATACCTTTGGGTGTAGGCCTCTTACTATTGACCAGATTCGAAGCAAACTCTCATGAAGCAGCTAGATTCGTTCTTGGGCTAAGAAGAGGTGTATTGGAGACAATGGTCTAAGGTCACGTGGCTTAAGGCAGGGGATTGAAATACAGGCTTCTTCCATCGTCATGCCAACAATTGTAGATAAAAAATTTAAAAAAACCAAATTGTAGGCCTGCACGATGATAAGGGAACCTGGCAGAAGGGGGATAAAGAGGTGGAGAAGGTGGTGCTCAAGTATTTCAATTCTATATTCCAGACGTGGCATAGTGCGGGTGGCGATGTGGTCCTGGATGCTTTGGATTACAGGTTTTCCCCAGAGATGACCGAGATTTTGAAGGCTGAGTTTTCAAGTGATGAAGTTAGGGCTGCTTTGTTTCAGATGCATTTTTCCAAGTCCCCGGGTCCATACGGGATGCCACTAGTTTTCTTCCAAAAGTTTGGGATATTCTCGGCCCCGACGTTGTGAATGTTGTGCTTTCTTTCCTATCTTTAGGCAAAATTCTGAAGAAGATTAACTTCATCTACGTTACTCTGATCCCAAAGGTTAATAAGCTTAAGGAAATAGGACATCTGCGGCCTATTAACTTGTCTAACGTCCTGTACAAGATCGCTGTAAAAGTGTTTATGAACCAGCTGTAGCTCATCATGCCCAACCTGATCTCTCAGTACTAGAGTGTT